AATTGCATGGAAACTGAACACACTGCTCCTGAATGACTAATGGATAAATAACAAAATTAAGACAGAACTAAAGAAGTTCTTTGAAACCAATGAGAACAAAGACATAGCATACCAGAATTCCTGGGACACTGCTAAAGAAATGTTTAGAGGGAAATTTATAGCACTAAATGTCCACAGGAGAAAGCAGGAAGGATCTAAAATCGACATTCTAATGTCAAAATTAAAAGAACTAGAGAAGCAAGAGCAAACAAATTCAAAAGCTAGCAGGAGACAAGAAATAACTAAGGCCAGAGCAGAACTGAAGGAGATAGAGACACAAAAAGCCCTTCAAATAAATAAATGATTCCAGGAGCTGTTTTATTGAAAAGATTAACAAAATACATAGACCACTAGCCAAACTAATAAAGAAGAAATGAGAGAAGAGAAGAATTGAATAGACACAATAAAAATGATAAACAAGATATCACCACTGATCCCACAGAAATACAAACTACCATCAGAGAATACCTGTACACAAATAAACTAGAAAACCTAGAAGAAATGGATAAATTCCTCGACACATACACCCTCCCAACACTAAACCAGGAAGAGGTTGAATCCCTGAATAGACCGATAACAAGTTCTGAAATTGAGGCAGTAATTAATACCAACCAGAAAAAGCCTAGGACCAGACAGATTCACAGCCAAATTCTACCAGAGGTACAAAGAGGAGATGGTACCATTCCTTCTGAAACTATTACAAACAATAGAAAAAACAGGATTCCTCCTTAACTCATTTTATGAGGCCAGAATCATCCTGATACCAAAACCTGTCAGAGACACACAAAAAAAGAAAAATTTAGGCCAATATCCCCAATGAACATTGATGCTAAAATCTTCAATAAAATATTGGCAAACTGAATCCAGCAGCACATCAAAAAGCTTACCCACTACAATCAAGTTGGCTTCACCCCTGGAATGGAAAGCTTATTCAACATATAAAAAACAATAAATGTAATCCATCACATAAACAGAACCAGTGACAAAAACCACATGATTATCTCAATAGATGCAGAAAAGGCCTTCAATAAAATCCAACACCCCTTCATGTTATAAACTCTCAATAAACTAGGTATTGATTGAACATGTCTCAAAATAATAAGAGCTACTTATGACAAACCCAAAGCCAATATCATACTGAATGGACAAAAGCTGAAAGCATTCCCTTTGAAATCCAGCGCAAGACAAGGACGCCCTCTCTCACCACTCCTACTCAACATTTAGTATTGGAAGTTCTGGCCAGGGAAATCAGGCAAGAGAAAGAAATAAAGGATATTCAAATAGGAAGAGGGGAAGTCAAATTGTCTCTCTTTGCAGATGACATGATTGCATATTTAGAAGACCCCATCGTCTCAGCCCAAAATCTTAAGCTGATAAGTAACTTCAGCAAAGTCTCAGGATACAAAATCAATGTGCAAAAATCACAAGCATTTCTATATACCATAATAGAAAGACAGAGAGCCAAATCATGAGTGAATTCCCATTCACAATTGCTACAAAGAGAATAAAATACCTAGGAATAACTTACAAGGGATGTGAAGGACCTCTTCAAGGAGAACTACAAACCACTGCTCAAGGAAATAATAGAGGACACAAACAGATGGAAACACATTTCATGCTTATGGATAGGAAGAATCAATATCGTGAAAATGGCTATACTGCCCAAAGTAATTTATAGATTCAATGCTATCTCCATTAAGCTACCATCAACTTTCTTTACAGAATTAGAAAAAATGACTTTAAATTTCATATGGAACTTTTAAGAGCCCATACGGTCAAGACAATCCTAAGCAAAAGGAACAAAGTTGGAGGCATCATGCTACCTGACTTCAAACTATACTGCAAGGCTACAGTAACCAAAACAGCATGATACTGGTGAAAAAACAAATATATAGATCAATGAAACAGAACACAGGCCTCAGAAATAATGCCACATATCTACAGCCATCTAATCTTGCGCAAACCTGACAAAAACAAGCAATGGGGAAAGGATTCCCTATTTAATAAATGGGTTGGGAAAACTGGCTAGCTATATGCAGAAAACTGAAACTGAACCCCTTCCTTATACCTTATACAAATTAACTTCAGATGGATTAAAGACTTAAATGTAAGTCCTAAAACCATAAAAACCCTAGAAGAAAGCCTAGGCAATACTGTTCAGGACATAAGCATGGGCAAAGATTTCATGACCAAAACACCAAAAGCAATGGCAACAAATGCCAAAATTGACAAATGGGATCTAATTAAATTAATGAGCTTCTGCACAGCAAAAGAAACTACCACCAGAGTGAATAGGCAACCTACAGAATGGGAGAAAATTTTTGCAATCGACCCATCTGACAAAGGGCTAATATTAAGAATCTACAAGGAACTTAAACAAATTTACAAGAAAAAAAACAAACAACTTCATCAAAAAGTGGGCAAAGGATATGAACAGATCCTTCTCAAAAGAAGACATTTATGTGGCCAACAAACATATGAATAAGAGCTCATCATCACTGTTAACTAGAGAAATGCAAATCAAAACCGCAATGAATACCATCTCACACCAGTTAGAATGGCAATCATTAAAAAGTCAGGAAACAACAGATGCTGGAGAGGATGTGGAGAAATAGAAACACTTGCACTGTTGGTGGGAGTGTAAATTAGCTCAACCATTGTGGAAGACAGTGTGGTGATTCCCCAGGAATCTAGAACCAGAAATACCATTTGACTCAGCAATCCCATTACTGGGTATATACCCAAAGGATTACAAATCATTCCACTATAAAGACACATGCACACATATGTTTACTGCGACACTATTCACAGTAGCAAAGACTGGGAGCCAACCCAAATGCCCATCAGTGATAGACTGGATAAAGAAAACGTGGCACATACATACCATGAAAACTATGCAGCCATAAAAAACTCACACATGAGTTCATATCCTTTGCAGGGACATGTATGAAGCTGGAAACCATCATTCTCAGCAAATTAACACAGGAACAGGAAGCCAAATACCACGTTTTCACTCAGAAGTGGGAGTTGAACAATTAGAACACATGGACACAGGGAGGGGAACATCACACACTGGGGCCTGTCCAGGGGTGAGGAGGCTAGAGGAGGGATAGCATTAGGAGAAATGCCTAATGTAGATGATGAGTTGATGGGTGCAGCAAACCACCATGGCACATGAATACCTATGTAACAAACCTGCATGTTCTGCGCATCTATCCCAGAACTTAAAAATATGATAAGAAATAAATTAAAAAAAAAAAAACTTGTCTCAATAAAGAAAGAGCTTTACAACTCACTGCAGCCTCAAGCAGAACTTCCACCTCAGCTTCCTGAGTAGCTGGGACTACAGGCATGTGTTCACTCTTATTGCTATATAATATTCCATCTTATGAATATACCACAACATATTTCTCTTTTCTCCTGTTAATGGACATTTGGATCATTTGCAGTTTGGAGCTGTGTTGAATATTGCTGAGATGGGCTGGGTGCGTTGGCTCAAAACTGTAATCCTAGCAGTTTGGGAGGCTGAGGCAGGTAGATCACGAGGTCAGGAGTTCAAAACCAGCCTGATCAACATGGTGAAACCCCTGTCTCTACTAAAAATACAAAAATTAGCCAGGCATGGTGGCACATGCCTGTCATCCCAGCTACTCGGGAGGCTGAGGCAGGAGAATCGCTTGAACCTGGTAGGCACAAGTTCAGTGAGCTGAGATCGTGCCATTGCACTCCAGCCTGGGTGACAGAGTGAGACTTCATCTTGAAAACAAATAAAAATAAAAATAAATATTGCTGAGATGACCATTTTAGTACCTATTTTTTGGTGAACATATGTATGCATTTCTGTTTTATGGGTGTAAACCTAGCAATAGAGTATATACCACTGAGCATCTACCTAGAATTGGAATTTTTGGATCATAGGGTAGGCTTATGTCCTAATAAATATTCCCAAACATTAAAAAAAGAAAAAAAAAAGAGCCTTAATAAACAAAAGTGATAAGACTGTGTCTTATATGGTAGATAAACTGAGAAATTCGGATACATGCTTGGAATTTGGATATTAAAGAAGAAAATAATTCAGCTGGCTGTGACAATGGTGGTTTTGTTAAAAGGATAGAGTCTGGTCAGTTAGAGACGCACACGGAAATATTTATGGGTATCAAGACACAGTGTCTGGGATTTGCTTTCAAGTAGTACAGGAAAAAACAAACAAAAAAGAGACTGTAATAGATGAAACAAATTGGGCAGAACATTGGTGATTATGGATACTGGAGGGTGGATACAGAGTGGTTCTTTATAGTACTTGTCATTTTTTTTTGTTTATTAAAGTTTTCTACAAGTTAAAAACATGATTATAAATACATTGTTTAGTGTGATTCTAAAATCTGACTGATCATCCAAATCACCTGAGGAGGTTAACAAAATAAGATTCTGGGAGCTGCACAGTCCTGCTCAATCAGTCTCTGTGAGTCCGTTTGTACTGGATGGGGGTGGGGATGAAGGCTTGTGTGTGGGGGAATGTGTTATTTTTTAATTTCCTAGCTCTGGCAGCCAGCACAGCCACGCTGCCTCCTCTGCTTTGTCTGACCCAGGACATCTTACATCAGTCTTCCTTCCTCCCTGCCTACTTCTCTTTTTCCTGTCTTTCCCTCCTCCTCCCTCTTGTTTTCTCTTTCTTCACTTTATGAAAGTTTAGGGCAGGAAGCTTAGAAGGGGCACAGGGTCCTAACATCTCTTTCCTCTTCCCAACAGAACCTCAGTGTCCTCATTGTGAGCGGGGGCCTGTGCTTGAGGACCGGGCCTGGCCCTCATACGGCTATGATTTGTGAAAAGCTGCCTTGCTACCGCGGATGAGAGATGTGTGCAGTGCTCAGGTGCGCCTGAAAATCAAGCTGCTTCGGACGCACGGTCTTAATATCCTTTCTTTTTCTTTCAGTATTCATCAATTGAAAACATCACAATCCGTTCTTAAATAATTTATTTTTTAATGTTGTCTCTTGTGAAAAGTTACATTTATTTATGAAAACTTGATGAAATCCAACAATATATGGCTTCCTATTAGGGACAATTAAATGTGCAAATTTCAAATACTTTTTAAAACAAATATAAATAAGTCCATTTTTTCACATTAAGAATGGAAATAATGATCAATACAAAATATTAAGATATTGACTTTAAGAGAATTCGGTGAAAACACTGAAGTCTACTTGATATCTTTGGAAAGAAATTATAAAGATTTGTCTGGGAAAAAACCTAGGGAGCTTTAAGGGGAAAGCATGTTTAATAATATGAGGAAAGGCTGTGTAGAGTTATAAATCACAGATATTTTCAGGTCATAAGTGCAGACCCCCCAAATGGCAGCCTTTATCTCTAGGAAAAATGCATTTCCCCTCCTTTTTTTTTTTCTAGAGCAAATATGACAGCAACCACAAAGCACACAGAGAACCTGTAAGCCAACAACAGAAAGAGATTTCCTCATACTCATGGTTACTGGCTTTTGCTGTCCCAATTCTGGGGTACCATGGGAGGCAAGGGACTTCCCAGCCCCCAGGACACAGTGTTAACACAGAAAATAAATTCCGTTGCACTTGGCGTTGCCAAAGTGATCACAGGCAGGGGTGCGGCAGTGCTGTTGTAGGGGGCCTTCGGGGGCAGGCTCACCTCAGTGGCCCCTCACAAACGGCCACATCTTTCCCTGTGGTCATCCCCAGTCTCATCCCTGCTCCTTCTCTATCTCATCTCCAAGGAGGTAGGACACTCAGAGGCATTAACAGAACACAGAGGATGGTTTTTCATTACATAGCTGGAGTTTCATAAGGAGAAGCATGAAACTTTGATGAACGTATATACCTTGGATGCAATTCCTTCTTTCCTGGGGAGGCAAAGCATATCAAAGAGGCCAGTGTACTCCCTGTGGTCAGGAACTTGCCCACAACCTCAAGCAAAGCAAAGTGTTCTCTCAAGAGGACACTGCAACATTTTCCCTGGAGCAGAAGAAATATCTTCACTTAAATAACCTTGAAGTTTGTAATAAAATAAATAAAATGAGTTATACAAACAGGACTAGTGCTCCCTTTAAAAAGGCAGCTGGTTGAGTTTATGCAAGCAGTGTATATACAAGCTCATGCCCAACAACAACCAGAAAACAGGTTATTATTATTTAGCCTTCCTATTATACTTCTAGGGCAGCATTTCAATATAATTAAAAAAATCCCTCATTCATAATGTAAGGGTATATTATATATGTACACACTTTTACCCCTCAGTTCAAGCTAACTTCTTTAGAAGTAAAGACAATAATAACCCAAAGAGTTACACGTCTTCCCACTAAAATACTCTGATTCTTAAAAGGTGCATATTGTAAAGAGCAGCTTGTTTTTCTGTCAATGTGAACATGTTCAGTCTCAGCAGCCTCAGAATCACAGTCCATGGATGGTTCTGCATTTCTGCCGGGTCCTTAGGAAAGGAACCAGGCCGGTAGGGAAAAACCACGAACTACAACCACTCTCTGAATACGCCCGTTTTCCCTGAACTTCCTTGAGATTCTCGCAGAGGGCCTTGCTGCCATGAGCATCTGGCTTCACATCACCAGGACATGCTGGGAGAGAGCAGGGAGAATGGCTCTGGCTTCCCCAGCCCACCTGACTGCACGTCTTTTCCCTTCTCAGCCAAGACATGGGCCGGATGCAGGGGCCTTGGCCAGTCCTCGCACACCTTCCAAGTCCAAAGAAGTTCCTGGCCTCCTGCTTGCTGGGAGAGGAGGAACCTTGGGCTGAATCTGACATCATCCCTTGCCAGTTACAAGCTTTGCTTTCTAAGGCCACCGGGGAACACTCCCCGGTTACCAAACCTGAGCATCATGGGCACCACGAAGAGCTTATGTTTCTTCTCCTGCTCAGACACCCTTGAGCCACCGCTGCAGTGGCAGCTGAGGGTTCAGAGGATAGCACCATGATGACTGGCAGCTCGAGGCTCCTCTTCCTGCAGGAGCTGACCCGCCTGTTTCCGGTTAGCCATACATCTGCTTGAACTGAAAGCACTCGTTGCAGTAGCCGTTGCATTTGGCATTGCCAAAGTGATCACAGGCAGGGGCCCGGCAGCGCTGCTTGGGGGGTTCTTCAGGGGCAGGCTCGCCCCGGTGTGCCCCCAGGCCCATCCGCTGGTTGGGACGCTGGCACTCCATGCAGAGCTCCTCGCTGCGGCAGGCCAGGATGTTCTTGCAGGAGGCACGGGCGCACTTGGGCCTTGAGGTGCTCTGTGTGGTTCGAGGCACATCTCTGCGCTGGCTCGATCTCTGAGTGGAAAGAACAGACAGAACTATTGCTCACGTGTCTTAGAGAGAGCACAGTGAAATCTCACTGGATAGTGTGGAGTCTACAAAGAGCTGTCCATGCCTGAGCTAGGCAACAAGACAGCACTGCCGTCTATGAGCCAGAGGTCTCCAAGGACGTTTCCTTCCAATCCCAAGGAGAGCTGACTGGGCCCCCAGGGAGGCTGAGGAAAACCACCAAGCCTAAGGTGGCCTGCAAACGTCCCCTGGCTCTCTTCTGTTGGGACCAATAACCACTGTTCTTACTTAGATAGCTTCCCCACCATTCTAGAACAGGCGACACACCTATCTGTCTAAGCTGGCTTTTCTGATGTGCCATTAACCAGAGGCCCCTGGGAAACTCTGCCTGTTCACTCCTTGTGATAAAGGATTATTTAAGAAGGGCTGCTTTTTAGATGTCTGTGCTTCTACAAATCAAAGAAGCCTCTGATTACTATCTGGTGTTTTAGAGGCTTGAAGAAGTTTTATGCAATGCCTGTGTTTCTTTGTTTTTAAAATAAATTCTGCAGTATACTTGGGACATGAAGATCGGTGGTAGCATTTCTGATCTGGGGGGCCACAGTGATGCGGACGTTTCCCTTCAGGTTCTGAACTAATCCTTTATCATGAGGTGACAGAACCTGGCAGAGAGGACAGTCTGCTTGTCACTGTCGGAAGAAAACGTTTCAACAAAAAGTGCCGAACACAAGGGAGGGAGGGGAAGCTCCTGAAAATGTCTCACCAGCTGCTCTTCTGTCCTTCTGGCCTCATGAAATCTCTGATTCTGAGCTTCGATGAAACATTTCTGGCAGTATCCTTCAAACATGGTGCTTCCAAGGGTGCCGCATTCCCTCCCCAGGCATGGAACGGTGTTCTGGAACCTGGAGGCTGTGGGACTGGCTTTCCCTGAGGCAGCGGCAAAATCTACAGGAGAGTGGATCCTAATTAGTACCACACAGGGGTCCCCAGATAGAGAAATGCTGATATCAGAGAAATAAATGGGTCCCAATTACAGACTAGGCCAGCCTTAAATATCTAGCTAGTTATCTAACTAGCTAGCTAGCTATCTAGATATATATATAGCCAGCTAGCTGTGTCTATCTATCTACCTACCCACTTAAAATAGACATATATTTAAATGTATAAATTCAGCAGAAGAAATAACAGCACTATTATGGAAACATCTTTGGCTTTACAAATCTCTCGTTTTGAACTTGGAGCACTGATCGGTCACAGGAACAGGGCAAAGAGCAGGCATTACCTGGTCACCCTTCTTTTGAATTGGAGATTTCCAAAACCACGACTATTTCCTTGCGGTGTCCATAGACACCCTCCTTCTCTCCAGTTACTACTCTTCAGATTTTAAGACTGTTCTATTATATCCAAGTTGCAAAAGAAGTTTAGTTTAAACTTAGACTATCTTAGATATCCCAGACTTGAATGGTCTAATAAAAGCAAATCCCATGAGCTCTGTCTACAGGGCGCTCTGGTTTTTGGAATGTGATATCTGGAGCTGCTGCAATCACGCAGTGCCTTTTGCCTCCATGGGCGGGGTCCCATGCACAAGCCGGTAGAACAGCACAATAGGTTCTGACCATTCTGCCTAACTGCCCACATTGGCTTTTCTCCCCTTTAAGTTCAGGAGCAAAACCTTCTTGCCAGTAGCTACTCTGTTAAGAAATCAACATTTCACTCACATTTGTTTTCTCTGTACTCGATGAAACACAGGGTGCAAAAGCCCTTGTTTTCTGGAGTCCCAAAATACATGCAGCCAGCTTTTCTGCACTTGCTCGTCCCCGCCCTGTCCCCTGGAGTCCGTGCAGCTTGAGACAGGCAGCCAGCGGGGACATCGTTTCCAGCTCTGAGACGAGAATGCGGGGAGGGGCTCCGGACGAGCTGTGAGGGATCTGACTTGGAGCGCTGGTGACAGGAGGGAGGGAGGCTGGTGCTGAGGCTGGAGGAGGCCTCCGCCGTAGTCCTTTTGAAGCAAGTACTGCAGATCCCATTAAATGTCCTGGTAACGTCCTGGAGGCAGGCTTGGCACTTCCCGGGATCCAAGTGCCTGGTGTGGTCTGCGGCGTGGCTGGCGCGAAGTTGCCGGGCGTTGTGGCAACGTTCACAAAATCCATTGTGCTGCACGTTCAGTGTGAAGGGGCAGCCGGGGCTCCTGCACTTCATGGCAGTGGTCTCGCTGAACAGAAAGGGGCTAGGTGCTGTCGGTGGGGCTGAATGAGGCCCCCCAGCCGGCTCCTCGGGGTTCCACGCCAAGGGCTCATAGGCTTCTCCCCGAGAGGCCCCGAGCGCCATGCCGGGGAGCACCTCAGGGCCTGGCTTGGAGTTCAGCTTTGGGAGTTTGTTTTGATTCTTTTGCCGCCTCTCTGAGCACTCATGGCATAAAGGCTGGGTGTTCACAGACATGAAGAAGGGGCAGTTGGGCGTTTCACATTTTACATCCATGAGAGAAAGCTGGGGCATGGAAGGTTCCATGGGATTCTGGGCAAGCAGCTCCCTCCTCCCCTGCTCGCTGTTTTCCTGCCATTTCTTGTACTCATGCTGAACAAGTTCGAAGTAATCATCTACCAGATTGATTTCTTTGGGTAAGTTGGCTTCATCCAACCTGAAGGCCAAAAGGAAAAAATACACTTGAGATGAAACAAAATCACACACAAAGTTTTACATCACTAGCCCATAGGACAAAGTTTTAGAATGTGGATTACGGCAAGAATCGTAGAACCATTCATTGAAATGCAGGCCTGTGATGAAGAGCTCACACTTTTCACATAACATGATCCGACATATTTTCTAACACGTTCTAGAGTCAAGAATGATGTCAGGTAGTTTGCTAAGACCCTTATTTTTAAAGTCACAGTTTCATTTAATCAATCTTGGTCCACCCAAAATTATAATAGTTCTAAAACAAGGGCTTAAAAAAAAATCAGTTTACTTTCTAATTTCTCAGAGATCAAATTCTGAGTAAAACATGACTCAGGCTATTCGTTTGGGGACTAGTCTATTTTATAGTACAAACTACTTTGAAACTTTTTAGGTTGGGTATTTTGCTGTTACTAACTTTAAACCTGTGTCTGGTCTTCGCCAGCATTAGCTGCCATGAGTGACTAAGACGCAGACACACTCAAAGGCACTGTCTGTCTACTGTTGACTCTGTAATTTGCTAATCTCCACTTTGAGAGACAGATGCTCTTCAAGTGCTCAGAAACAGGCATCTCTTCAACATAAAGCCAATGTTTAAAGACCGGATACCTACACAATGGGCATTCTGGGGCTTTCCTCCCATTTCCACGTGGCAGAATCATGAACTGCAACATAAACAACCTACAGTCTCTTCTATGTCTGATGTGCCCGTTCTTACCAAGAAGCCAAGACAGAAAGGCTTTTGTTTCCAAGTGTTTTCGCTTGCTAGCCTTTTTAATATGTACCGGAGTAATTAAAATACAAAAAACAACAACTATCCTGGATGTGTAAATGTACTTTAAAAACTCATAATTCTGCAATTCTAACTTTCAGTGTCCAGATATACAGGAAAATCACTATGGATAAATTACTTGTTTCGATTTGAAACCAAAGTTAGTAGTGCCTTAGATAATCCTCTCTAACCATGCACAAGACTCTGAATTTGTTTCCCATTGGCAGAAACTGGCTGCAAATCACTCTACTGTTGAGCTTCAGGGTGGCAGCAGCTCACGTGGCTGAGGTTGAAGTTAGCTGCAGATGACACAGGAGAGAGCTGAACATAAACTGCTTACTTTGCAGCATTAATGAGATGAGTTGTGCCATGGTCCCAGCCTTGGACGGGGATTTCTATCACCATCAAGTACTCTTTTAAGAGCTTTTCCTTCATCTCATTTTCAGGATCTGTCAAAAAGTGAACTTTTAAGTCTTCAAATCTTCCTCGGTCTCTGTTAACGAGTGGAACAGCTCGGATTTCTAAGGAAAAAGAATAACACATAAGTAAAATACTACCCTACTAAACAATGCCATATGTAAGTAGATCTCATTTTGAAAATGTGTAACAGATATAATTTACAGAACAGAAAAGTGTTCTGAGCCACAGTGAAACCCAAATGGGAAAACAGAATGTGCTACACTCTAATATAAAAATGCACTGTTGGCCGGGCGCAGTGGCTCACACCTGTAATCCCAGCACTTTGGGAGGCCAAGGCAGGCGAATCACCTGAGGTTGGGAGTTCAAGACCAGCCTGACCAACATGGAGAAACCTCGTCTCTATAAAT